GGTCGGCCGGTCGGGCGGTATGGTAGCTGGTGCAGTAATCATGGGCCGATGGTCCTGCTGTACTGCCTTGCTCCGAAGCTTGGGACAAAACCTCTTCACGTGGCCCAACTCCTCGCACTCAAAACAACCTCTCTGAGTGGTGAACTGCTGGCTCAGAGTCTGACCCTGATAGCCTGAATACCCACTGGAGGTACCCTAAATAGCCGGAGGACGGTAAGCACTCTCTGGAATAACGCTGAAGTAGGGTCGTGCCAGAGCACTCCAAGCAGGTGGTGGTGCTGAATGCATGGGCCTGCTAGGCTAGCCCCTCATGAACCGACCCCTACCCCTAGACGGGTCTCCACTGAATCCACCAAAATGCTGAGGCCGCTTATCCCTCGGCGCAACCTCTTTGATGTGGTTGCGAATACGCTCGATCCTCCAAGCTATATCCTCAACATATAGGAATGGAGTCCCTATCTCCACCTCGTGGGCCATAAAACCCTGAATCTCAGGGTGCAAACCTAAAATAAACCTTCACACCCTCTATGCATCCGTGGGGAGTATAATAGTTGCATGACGAGACAAGTCAGTGAATATTGCCTCATAATCGGTCACAGACATATGACCCTGTCGGAGCCGCTCAAACTGACCTCGAAGCTCCTCTCTCTCTGAAGGCGAAATATACTTCTCCAAGAAAAGATGTGTGAACTGATCCCAAGTCAAGGGAGGTAAGCTTGCTGGCTTGCTGAGGAGGTAAGCCTACCACATCTTCGGGCCTTGTCCTCTAGATGAAAAGTGGTGAAGTCCACCCTGTTGGACTCCAACACTCCCATATTACACAGCCTCTCCTTACACGGTCAATGAAATCATGTGGGTCCTCTATCTGCTCATCTCCAAAGACAGGAGGATGAAGTCTAGTCCACCTGTCCAACCGCTTCTGCTCCTCAATGGTCGTGGTCGGTCCGGTCTCTGGTCTAACTGCTGCAACCGGCTAAGCCTTGCCCGCAAGAAGTGCACCTGGAGTCTGATAAACGACAGCGACATGCCCTGGAGCATGAGCGGTAGGGGTCTGTGCTCCCTCTCCCGTCTGAGATGTGGCTGGATCTGCTAGAAATAGCCCAGCATAGGTTATAGAATCCATGAACCGCATCATACGGCCCATGACCTCCTGAAAGCCCGGTGCGGTCATGAAACCCGCTGGGGCTGGCTCAGTTGCAGGTACCTCATCCTGCTTCTCAATAACAGGATCCTCCATGGGATCTACTGACTGGAGCAACTCTAGGACGTCCTCGTCCTCTAACAGGAGTTGTGGCCCTCCCTCGGCCTCTGCCTCTAACAACTGGGGGAGCAACCCACTACCGCTGGAAACAGCCGTAGCACGCCGTCTCACCATCTGTGAGAGAATAAGAGAAAGATACTTAGCACAACATCAGCTACACGACAAGAGATTAAGAAAGAGAAGTTTCCTAATACCCTATAGCCTCTCGAAGATAAGTACGGACGTCTCCGCATCGATCCGTAAGACTCTACTAGGCCTGCTCATGACTCGTGAGACCTATGTGAACCTAGTGCTCTGATACCAAACTGTCACGACCCAAATTTCATAATAGATCGCAATGGCGCCCAACGATGTGGTTAGGCAATCCAACGATGAACCTCAAATTTAATTATCCAATTTAGCCTTTAAACTTAGAAATATTTATTTAATAAACAGGAATTAAACATAAAACTCATGGAAACATACGCACTACTTTATCAAAACAACGGGTATGAATAGTACATAAAATAATGTGATAGTAACGATAAGTATAACTGTGAAATTCCACGAGGAACCCCAAAACCCAGTGTGACAAATGCATGAGCAATCTGGGGAATATATAAAACTACTACAGCTACTGTCTGAAATGAAATAGACAGAAACAGTAAATAAGATAGAGGGTGACTCCGGGTGCTGCAGATCGAAGTATGGAAGGCACCTCACCACTAAGTCTCCGCGATGCGTCTACGCGCCCGTGTGACCACTCGAAGTATCTGTCTCAATACCTGCACAATCAGTGCAGAATTATAGCATGAGTACGTAAATCAATGCGCACCCAATAAATATCTAGTCTAACCTCGAAAAAGTAGTGACGAGGGGTCGACTTCACACTTACTAGTGGTCAAAATAATCAAATATATAAAGTAGACAGGTATGAAACATAACAAGTAACAACGAAACAAATAAGCTTTAATAATAAATTTTCAACATGGATCATTACAAAATCATAAGATGTCATAACCGGCCCCGAAGGCACAAAATTCAACTGATATCAATACCAAATCAAATCCAAAGTGTCACGCACGAGTCTCTCGATGCGAACGGTCCGATCCTATAAGAATAGTGTTACACAATACCGCCGAGGTGAACGACTCGATCCCATAAGTATGGTGTTACATAATCCTGCCGAGGCGAACGACCCGATCCCACAATAATAACTTACAACACTGCCAAGGCGAATAGCCTGATCCCATAAAAGTAGAGAAACACTCTCACTCGCGAAAATACATGCGAGTCGAGAAGACAAGGAACTACCGATCATTAATATTTCACAATTTCCAAGGTATGAGGCTCGATCATTACTTTTATTCAAGTCTCAATCTCAGTCATAAATTAAATAAATCAAACAAACAAGATTAATCCAAATAGCACATTTAAAGCATGATTTGAATCTAAGTCTACCCGGACATAAGCATGAATCTAGCTACGTACAGACTCTCGTCACCTCGTGTGTACGTAGCTCCCAAAACAAGTAGCACACAATAATTAATACTCTTAAGGAGATAATTCCCTCTTAAAAGATTAGGCAAGAGACTCACCTAGCTCCCAAGCTCACTATTCGGCTCTTAAACCTCACTAGAAGTCCCCAAACGATGCCGAGCAATCCGAAGCTAGTAAAAAGTCGTACAAACTAATCAATATATGCTCAAAAGTTCATAATTCATCTATTAGAGTAATTTTTAACCCAATTTGGAAAGTTCATAAAAGTTACCCCCAGGCTCACGTGCCCGGAGTCTAGAAATTTTTGAAGATAAACATTATCCATGACGTTACGAACTCAAATATATGATTTATTCCCAATTCCATGATCAATTTCATGGTCAAATTCTATTTTTACCAAACCTTATGTTTCCAACAAAATCCTACTAATTTTCATGTTAAAATCTACCCATAATCCATGTATTGAACTCATAGTTGGTAGAAATTGCTTAACTTGTGATGTTGATGAAAATCCCCCACAAGAATGCTCTCAATTTCGTCCAAGACCAAGTGAAAATGAGAGAAAAGAGAGTTAAGTCCCGTATTAAAAATCAAGTATGTCCAGGTCTCCCTTCTTCGCGATCACGGAAGGTCCTTCGCGATCGCGAAGACCAACTGCCCAACTGACTAAATTTACCCTTCGCCTTCACGATCTCCCGGTCACGTTCGCGATAAACCATCTCCCAGCCTTCCGCATTCGCTATCACCTAGTCGCGTTTGCGAAGGCCAAATGCCTTTTAGCCCACTCCGTTTCCCCCTTCTTCGCGTTCGCGAAGCTGTCTACGCGTTCACGAAGAAGGACTAGATCCTCCCTCGCGTTCACGAAGAGTAAAACCCAGTCCTCTCTCCAGGCTTCTTCGCGATCACAGGACAACCTTCGCGAAGCACACCAGCACACCAACAAATTTCAGCCAATTTAACTTTGCTCCGGGTGGTCCGAAACATACCGAGCCACCCAGGATCCCGTCCAAATGTACCAATAAGTCCATAACATACTACGGACCTACTCGAAGCCTCGGAACATATAAAATAATACCGGAACCAAGAATCGCACCTCAAAACCAAATTAATCAACTTCTAAGCTTCAAACTCATTTCAACTAACTTCGAATGCGACGAAACATACTTAGACAACTCGGAACGACGCCAAATTCTATATACAAGTCACGAATCACAATACAAACCTATTCCAAGGCTCGGAATCCCGAACGGACACTAATAACACCAAAATCCACTTCAACTCAAACTTAAGAAATTCTAAAACCTTCAAAATGTCAACTTTCAACATTAAGCGCCGAAACGCTCCCGGTCCACCCGAAACTCAATCCGAACATACGCCCAAGTCCAAAATCATCATACAAACCTACTGGAACACCTTCAAATCCCGATTCCGAAGTCGTTTACCTAAAAATGTTGACTCAAGTCAAACTTAGCCACCTTAAGCCACTATTATGGAACTAAGTGTTCCGAATTCAACCAGAGCCCTTCCAAAAACAAACCAACCATTCTCGCAAGTCATAAAACAGTAAAAGCACATACGGAAAGTCTTAAATAAGGGAACGGGAATCTAAAAAGTAAAACGACCGGTTAGATCGTTACACATTATATTTTTCATCTTTCTTCAAGGACTCAAAATTAATCGAATAGTACGAGGTTTTGCTTGCTTGGGTTTCTTCATGCACGTAAACGGCAGATTTACGGTTTTGCTACCAATCTAAGTTCATGCACAATGTTTGTCACTGTCCTCGATTGCATAGCGCGGTCTATGTCAATCGCCCACCAAGTCGAGTTAGAACTTGATTATGGTTATTACCTATTTTATCGTATTATTTCGTTATTTTAAATACAATATTTGTTTTAATTGTTACTTAAATCTTATATAACGACGAAAAATATCACTTTATGTAACAACCAATTTGATGTGGTTACATCATTATCTTATTTTTTCTCTCATCTTACCCTTTCTTTTATTAAGCAATCATATTTTATCATTTTTCCTTCCTTTTTATATAATAATTCTACTATGTGCCTTACTTTTTCTTTGCATTAATATTACAAGTTTATTGTTTATATTGTTAGTGCATGATATCACGAAACGACAACAAATAATACAATCGATCCTAATGTTATATACATTAAAACAATACAGTACAATACAATACATTATAAAACGAATGATAACAACCATCCAAACAAGCCGTTAAGAAAAATCACATGCATAATGGCAAGGACAAATAGCTGAATTATTCATTTAAAGGTGCCACAAGCAAAATCAGTTTAACAGTATAATATGCTCTCACCCATTGACTAAGCTTGTTAATGCGTACAACTCAGTAGTTAAAGAAGCACTAGAACACTAGGAATTATCAACTCTCTAGTTGAAAAGGAATATCATCCTGGAAACCAAATTATTAACAGACATGCACTATAAAGTAAATCGATGTCACAAATCAAACTATCTCCCTATATTTGGGGGTAACAAGATGAGACATTTTTTCAAAACAAGAAAAAGAAAAATAGATGGCATTCTAATTGTACAATTCTCCCCGTGGCGTGTTTGCGTTTCCTAAACATGTCGGAGAGCAAGAGGATCAGTCAACCTTCAGTTAGACCATACATGGACCAGCCCAAGACTGTTTCCAGTATAGATTTCATTATGCTCTTCATCATAGAAAAGGGCAGTGATATCTTCCAGGGCTTCTGCAACCGTGCTACCAATTCTGGAAGCTCGGATACGCTTCTTAGAGTTGCAACTTCTACCACCATGCTCATTGCAACTGGGACTGCAACTACAATCATCTGAGCTAAGGCTGTCAGTTGCTTTTATTTTAGCAAGGCATTTGCCTGTCAAAATGTTGCTGATATTGATCGATCCAGCTGTAAAACCAGATCAGTCATTTTCAGATATCTATAAACAAGCACAGAATATCAAAAATAAAACAAAGAGACAAGCATCAAGATATACTAAATCACCCTTACTTCCAACCATCCAGGTCATAACTACATCATTTACTTCATATCTCTAAGCTTAATTAACAATGCGGGTACAGCAATACTTTTGTGAGAATAAACTGACATACAGGTATATCAGCTCTAATCGTATTTATGATGATATAGTCTCACATCCAAAGGCCTATTATGCTTTTCAAACATCAAGAAAGAATGTTATGAAATTCTCATACAGACATACCTGTTCCTTCTGATAAGGATTCATCAGAATCAGCTTTGCAATATGAAATAATAAGGTCCTGATCACTAGTAATGTAAATGTTGTTTGTATTGCAGTCAGGATGCCATAATAGGTGATCCTCAAATGAAGTCACAAGCTCCCCGCGGAAATTCCAAACAGCTACTGTTCTGTTTCTGAATGTCAAGAATAATTGATTCTCGTACAGAAATATGAATGCTGATGGGGTCATGAATTCAGCTCTGCTAACTTCTGTCAACTCGAAATTGCGTACCTATATTCAACAGCTATTAGATTTGATGATAAACGAAGATAAAAGACATTGCAGAGAAGGCGAGAGAAACTCACATCAAGAATCTGAAGATTTTCATTCTCTTGTTTGACAAGAAGCTTTTCATTGAACTGTTCAATGAAATCCACCTTCTTATTTCGGTGGAGCAGATGGTTGAAAGATTTAAGAACAGTACCATCCTCAATCGAGAGAATCTTTAAAGGAACATGGCCGCTAGCTTTGGTAAATATTAGCAACATGATTCCTGGACTGCTAGAAGGGAAACGAAAAGAGAACAAAAGTTATGAATCAAGAAAACCAGTTCTTGACAATCGAACTGCTGCAAGTTTATGAGAAGTACATACGAAAAACACAACAGACCAGACTTCCATTTAGTACATTATTCTATCTACTAAAAGCACCCTTTTCTGCACTTCATCACAATCCTTCAGCTCTTGAATCGTTAATCCAGAAACAACAGGAATCTCAAAAAAATCATAAGAATAAAAAGTTGAGTACTAAATGGAAGTATGGTCTGTTGTGTTTTTTATATGTACTTCTCATAAACTTGCAGAGCAGAACTGCTACAAGTTTATGAGAAGTACATATAAAAAACACAACAGACCATACTTCCATTTAGTACATTATTCTATCTACTAAAAGCATCCTTTTCTGCACTTCATCACAATCTTTCAGCTCTTGAAACTTTAGAGAGCATTGTTAATCCCAGAAACAACAGGAATCTCAAAAGAATCATAAGAATAATAATAGCAGCTGATACAAACAAACAAAAACTGTCACCAGACACAAACAAACACATATACAGAGATGCGGAGAAAATAAAACAAACTAAAAGATAAACAAAAAGACAGAGACAAGCAAAACAGTAGAACAAAAACCATCTAGAATACAATCAAAAACTTAGAAAGAAATGGAGTTGGCAACTCTAGCAAACGTATAATAACACATTTCCATATACTGAAGGCGTCTGTCGGGCAAGATTCTGTAGAGCATTTCCACGCACATAAGTTATAACACAACTCATCACGGCAATAATGAGCATGCTAATGCATACTTGCAAAAGAAATGAAATTACCTGATTTTAATCTCTTCGACATTTTTGTCCGGGATCGAGTATAACATCGTATAATTCTTCAGGTCAAACACCTTGTATATGCTGTCAAAAAAGAAACGGAATTGTAACATTGAATAAAGTTTACCAAAATTAATCACATCATCCAGAAATGACTTCAGCACAGGAAATTTTACCTATCCTGGGCAGAGTAAGTAAGTACTTTCCCATTTACATCATCAAACTCCACAAAACCAGGCCATTTTAATGATTCCGACTCAAATAGAGCAAATCCCGCATCTGGTTTACCCCTCCTTATGTATCTAATTTCATTGATAAATATATTGTATTACTACTAAATAAAAACATTTAACAGAATCTGATCAAACAATAATATTAAAATTTCATACTCAATCCTTGTCGTTCTGCATTTTAAGGAACTGAAATTATCTGAAGCATAGACCGAAACAGTGATTAAGGAGTCATTGTTTTTATTGTAAAACAAGCTCCGTATGACTTCGTCTGGACTGACATTCAAAAAGCATATCCTCCGGTTTGTTTCTGCACCACCAGTAATGTATATCAATTACCTTTCAATCACAAAGGTGCTCATAGAAGGAAATTAACATTGAGAATTACCAATCTTCGTTCTTTACCTCGGCTAAATGCTGCACAGACACCAGATTGTGCAAGGGCAAAAACAATATCACGTGCAGCAACTATCTCAATTATCTTTGACCTTTTCTTAAGAAATGGAAGTACCATGGCACTATGACCTTTTGGATCATGGGTATCATATTCCTCCTACAGATCACATATAAAAACTGTCATTACTAATAAGTGAGAGCAGCATTCTAAAATAATGAACAACTAATTCAGGATATTTTAGTTTTTTATTTCAGACAACCAACAATTATTACATGAAAGATCATAGAAAGATAGGACGCACATCTTAAGCAACTAAGGATGTGAATGTCCACTTGCAAGAGTCCAGATTATAACAAATAAGGACTCATAAAAAACAAACCATATAAAAAATCCCCCAACTAATCCAATATACAAAATACTTTTTTCCACAGCTTTATATCCTTCACAAGTTTCTAGCAACATGAAAGACACGATTCCAACAAACATTTGTCCAGTATTGACAGAAATCTGACCACCAAACTTAATTAGGCAAAATAAAAGATAAAATTTCTATAAAAAACCCTACAAATTGCTCAGGCCATGAAGATTAGACAGACTGCAAATCACAATAGAAGGCTGCTGCCTGGAAATGCACCATAAGACATATAAGAAGCTGCCTCATCCTAGGAAAACAAGTCGGTTAAAAAGGATGCAAAAGGCATCTCTTTCCCCTTTGTTTTTAATCCGCTAGTAAGCAACTGCGGAGCTGCTTGTCAACATAATTATTCGAAATTGGAAGCGTGAAGAAAACTTGAAACTAGATGTGTTGCACAATTTATAAGATATAATTAGATCACGTAATATTAAGTACCAATAAATTGGAGACGAAAGACATCACAATTCTGATGCAACACATCTCGATTAACATCGCTTACCTATCCCGTAAACATATCTTTTGCCTAATAAATACTCCTATTTTTCCTTTTATATGGCATTATTTTCTTTTTAGTTTGTTCCAAAAAGACTTGACGTTTTCTTTATTTGAAAATTCTTTAACTTTAAACTTCTCAGTTTACCCTTAATGGCACGCTCATAGTGATAAATATTATCATGACATGTTTAAAATCACAAGTTCTTTTTTCTTTTCTTTTTTTAATAAGTTTTAGAACCACAAGTTCTACGGATACTTTTGGTATGTTCCAAAACCTTTTTTTTTTCTAAACTCTGTGCACCTTCAAACACCACAATAAAAAAATGAAATGGAGGGAGCAGCAAAAATAATTTACATTATGAATGTGTTTGGTATGAAGGAAAATGTTTTCCTAGAAAATATTTTCATGGAAAATGAGTGGTTTTATCACTTATTTTACCTTGTTTGGTTGATGAGTGAAAAACTTTTCTGCAAAATATTTTCTAGTGTTTGGTTAGAGAGTAGAAAATACTTTTTAGGAAAATAATTTTTTATGCTACTCTCCTCATCCCCCTCCCCTCCCCTCCCCTCCCCCAAGTGTGTTTGGTATGAAGGAAAATGTTTCCTAAAAAATGTTTTCATGGAAAATGAGTGATTTTATCACTTATTTTACCTTGTTTGGTTGGTGAGTGAAAAACTTTTTCTGAAAAATATTTTCTAGTGTTTGGTTAGAGAGTAGAAAATAATTTTTTATGCTACTTTCCTCACCCCCTCCCTTCCCCCAAGTTCCCATGTTAACTG